ACTATTTACTATCACTAAACCCCATTTTTCACGAGCTTTCATTTGGTATAAAATTCATGATATCTCCGATTCGAGATCATAGTGTTACCCCCCTGGAATAATATTATTTACCACCCTGTATTTAGTTGTTCGGTTAGTAAACGAATAGCAAGGGGGGAAGAATGATTGTAAATGACATTTTGACGAGAAATATGATTAAAACCGAGATATCGAGGTACAAAGCTAGATAGTATAGCTTGACGAACAGCAGTTAGAGTTCGGGAAACAGCTTTAGGATTCGAAAACTGAAAAATTGTTGTAAGAACTTTATTACTAAGTCCTAATCTAAGTTTTGTTAAAAATAAGCCAACAGCATTTCGAAATGATCGATTAGATGAATGTTTGATATTGGAATAGACGAGCAATCCGATCAAGTGCTCAAAATTTAGTTTTGATATTCCGGTTAAGTTATAACTATCAATATCTGACATCGTAATAGGATGATCAAAATCAAAATATCGAAATGAATTATAGTGATCTCGGAATTTATCAAACCATGTTAATATATCAGTGGAGGAGAAAGGTGTTTGGGTAATTGTGTGAGGTAGAATTTTATTTAAATCATCAATGCGTAAACGTTCATTAACAACGTGACCTGGGCAACATCGACTACCTTTTGGAATTAAAATATTGCTTTTAATAAATAGAAGGTCTCGATCTTGATCAGAAATGGTAAATGTTGAACTCATAACCTCTCGGCAAACTACACAGCGGCTAAAACGCAAAAATATTCTGTTTTTATCAATAGTTTCTATTAAAAACATACTGATGACATGATATGGTAATATTCAATGGTAAAGTCACAATATTTGTATTAACTAGATCATTTGATGACGCTGCTGTTCCAGATTCAATATTCTCATCATCATTCTAAAAAATCAATCGATACATAATGACAAGAATATCGTTAGAAAATCTCACTTTATCGTCAGTATCCATTATAGATTCGTCTGATTCATTTCCAAGACGATATAAGACGTTGACAAATTCAGTATTGTTACGCCATTTGAGATAACGCATACGACAAGTATTACATATTGATCCAGACTCTGGTAAAAACATATTTGTTCGTGCCGAAACAAAAAGCCGCATTGCTATGCCATGAAACGGACGATGATTCTTCGGATCAATACGACCATTACAACAAACGCATTCGATAACCATTTTTATATAGGTGACTGTGAGGTTTTCCGCTAATTATCCGATACTTCTGCCCCCGTGATATATGTAAGCCGAAAGATAATTAGCAAAATCCCTCGTCTGTATAGGACTGGAAATCTCACCTAACTGCGTCTTACCTTCACCTTGATTATTAATAATATCGGCACGCAACAATGGGTTTACGATTTATAAGTTTGTTTATTGAAGATATACGTATGCTGAGGTAATAATAAAGATAATAAACACAATATCGGAGGGGAAAGAATAAGTTGAACTACAAAAAGGTAGAAAAAAATAGTATTGATGAATCAGAGAGAACAAGATAGCGAGACTACACAAAAGTGTTACCACTTAGAATAAAAAAAGGTCACACAAGAGACGTGCAGACAAAAACTAGGTATATATACGAAGAAAAGATGACCACAGACTACATCAACGAAGACAACGAGAGCCGATGAATAACGGATACTTTAGTTAAAAGTTAGCCGCGACATAGTGTCATCTGTTGACGCTAACAGTGACTCTTATTATGATTAGCAGAAAAGTAATTATCTTCTTTTTTTCCTCATTGTCTTTATACAATGGATATTTTCACGCATGCTGTTTCTTGATTCCTGGATATCACGCAAACAATTTCTTACACTTCCACTATATTCCCCCCTTCGATAATCAGTCCTTCAAAACAGAACTTTGAGATATTTCTCGTCCTATCATCAACTAAATTCATGAGCAGGCTTCGAAGATATGTCATCAGTATATGTGCCCTTTCTGAAGTCAAAGTCTATTTAAAACCGTATTCTCCATACCGTACATACAATACACTGGTTTTGTAGCCACTTGTTTGGGCACTTTTGTAGCTCTTAATGATTAGCATTGACGCTGAAAGAATGGCTCCGGTTCTGCGTCACACAGTGGAGATTGAAGGTACACAAGGTTCCGAAAAAGCCTGTATATGACCACATATGAAGGGTATTCGAAATTTTTTGTAGTGAATCTTTAGTTTTTACTCGAAGATATGTGTACGTTTTTTGTTCAGAATTAAATTCTCTATCGAATAAAATGTAAATTGACCGTCAAATCATTTATATACTGCGTCTAAAATGAGTGATTCTTTGACCCCTAGAAGGTCCAATAGGACCTATATGGCTGAGTACCAACGTAAGGGAAAAGGTTGACAGATCAAGCTGAAACTTATAGAAGTGATTACTGACTATGAGCCCTACAATTGCTGAAAGTTTCAGGTAAAACTATAAGTGTTTTCTAGGGGGGCCGAGTTCAACGCAAAATGTCCCCCGTCCTTTCATACATATGATGCATTATATGAGTTTCCAGAAAACTCATTCATTTTTCGAACATTAGATCGATTTCCGGAAACCCGATTGAATTTTCGTAAACCGAATTCAATTTCCGAAACATGCAGTTTCCTTAGAATGTTCCACAGACATTATGGCCGTAATGGACATGATCATGAAATGTCTCTCATGTCTTGGAAAAATAATTAAACCTATCTCTGAGAAATACAGGATATATAAAAGATGATGGAAATATAACGACTGTAGGATGTATTGGACAGGCGGGATTTGTTGGGTATATAGAAATCTGACGGAAGAGCTCCGAAATGATTCTATTGAGGCGAAAAGAAAATCGTCTCTGACTTAGGTTCAATTCAGTCGATTTTAAAGGCTTTGTTTCTTGACTTCAATACCTACAACTGTCACTTCACTTCGGAACAAACGCCGCTCCCATTTGTATTCATTTCCATCACTTCGGGTCAAAACTGTATAATACCTGCCTTTCAACATAGCCTATCGACTGAAAACTATCTTTCTAATAATCCACCAATTTCTACAGTCTTTGTCCTGCTAGAAATGTACAGCTAGACCCAAGCTTTCGGAATATTACATCACATTTACCTTTGCAAAAACTCTTATGCATAAAGAAAGCTTTCGATATTGGGTCTGGATTAACTTCTCACCTTTCCTCAGAGTAGCGCTGCAATTACTTCCATTCCACTAAATACAATATGCCTCAGAAATTTCTTTGGATGTCCAAGTGACCTGAATGCAAACGCATTACCCTATAAAAAGTGATTTGCTTCACAAAAATCAAAGTGAAATTTTTAAAAGCCAGAACACCGATAGAAAAATTACCCTCACCAGTCAGCTATTCAAGTCTTTGAACGGCAATCTCAGAATAATATTATTCATTCATAGCATTGCAGCCGCAACTGAACAAGCAAAAGCGAACGTAGCCGGGCACAAGCGGCAACGCATTCAGACAGCACATACAGGAAACCCGTATCATTCTTGATTTGTGAGTCATACAAGCCGTTCAAATATGTAGAGCTTTCTATAAGTGGCTAGATACTCGTCAGAAATGACTTAAAAAGGTATGCCAAGTACACAAGGTCTTCCAGCCATCGAGATGTTCCTAGTATTAAATATGCTCACAGTTTACAGACTAACCCATATTACACCGCCATCAGTGAGCGTTCAAGAAAGGACTTTCACCAACAACGACTATAACCGCATCGCAATGGGTGAGAGTGCGAAGAAAGAAGTTTCATCGAGAACGACTCTCACTGCACCGCACTGAGTTGGGATACGAAGTAAGGAGTCTTGCTGAGAACGATTCGTATGGCATGGCATTTTGTTTGGTTGCTGCGGAATGCGTTTTTCTGGATATGTTGCGTGTCGTATCGAATCGAGGGTTTCCTTTGAATGTTAGATGGGATGGTGAGACAGAATGCTCGGCACGTGTTGCGTAGCACACTATGTTTATTTCGACTCTGATGTTGGAAGTGTGGCTTTAGGATGTGAGTAATTGTCACCGTTGATATGTTACCATTGGCGCTGGTGATAGTATGTCCTGTTTGACCTGGGATGGGTGATTTCCAGTTTTTTTGTAAAGGAGTTTTCAGGGCAATTTATCGTAAGTTGTAATGTATGTGTATGTTGCTAGTAGTGCATGGTGATTGCAATGTATCATCCCATTCAACGCATATGTCTTTGCCGATTTTATGGAAGATATATGTACTGTCAACGTTTTCAATAGCAGGCTTCAGGAAAAGATTATAATTTTGGAGTGATTAGATTTGTTAGATTGATTGTTTTGGAGTCCCGCCCAATATTGTTATGGCGAATGAATTGCGAGACGCCCCGCTGAGTTGTGCTCAGTGGCATAACACAAAGCATGAATTTGTTTTTTCAGACGTGTTGTATCGGCTGCAGTGATCGGGTGGATTGCGTTGTATAGGTTTGGACATAGTAGTGCTTTCTGTTACTTCTGTTTCACGTTTCGCAAGGACTTTTGCACGCACTGGTAAATGCAAAGTGATATCGAAGAGAAGGATCTGGTGTTTAATGACCCCTTAGCCTATACAATTTGACAGCTTTCTTCTCTTGATTCCCGATAATTCCTTCTTTTGTCATGCGAAGAAGTGGTGTTTCCTTGCGAGACCTGTATTAGAATATTCGGGTAGTTTACGTAGAGCGAAGCAGGGTTCTATTAGGATTCCTAAGTTATAATTCGAGCCGCCTCATATTTCATTTGGATTTATGGGAAATCAAGATGAGTCGGCAATGGCACATCATGTCTATTATATCCATTACGATCATTACGACCATTATGTCCATTGAAAATCTCTTACAGCTGTCCTTGCAATAAAATCAGTTTCCCGAAGACTAATACAACGCATCGAATCTTGTTGTATCACTCGTTGCGCCTCTTTCTCTTAATTAAAGGCTGTTTTTCAATGTTATACCGTCTTTTTATCGAAAATATGAAGGATTATAATAATAGCATTTAGAAATAATGACTAGACTTATATTATAAAAAACTTGAACTAACTCGAAGTAGCTTCAAGTAACTTCAAGTAGCTCAAAGTACTATTCAAGTAGCCTAAAGTAACGTTCAAGTAGTTCAAAGTAGCATTGAAATACTCAAAAAATAACTTGAAGTAGTTCAAAGTATTGCTCAAGTACCATTCAAGTGGTTCAAAGTAATTTCAAGTCGAAAAGTCCGCCGTTTTCCCCTTGGCTCAGCTACTGGAGTCGATCTGCCAGAAAATTGTTGTTCCGTTTTGGAGACAGTATTTCTATAACAGAACAAAGTTTTTTTTTACTTGAAAGTGGAAATTGCAGAATTACTCTACAGGATACGGTAAGAGTATAAAGTTTTTCTTAGTCAGAATACATGAAATGAAAACATTTTACTCCGGCACATCTCCACCATGGGGTGTGGGTAAAGTCAACAACTATATCCACACTCACATCCTTTTTGTTTTTCATTTTGTTTCAATATCATAAGGTGAGAAAAGATGAAAAATAGAAAACAATAAGCAGCTTCTTTCTTTTGTAACCGAAACTCGAACGCTGTTGTGCTGGTGCAATAATTTGTTTGCTTCTTGGTCAGAATAGCCTCATATTGTATGCAACAATTTAGAGTAAAGTACACCGATTTTTTGTTTGTTTACCCTTGAATGTGAGCTCGCAATTCAAATAAATGTTAACTAATGGACTGTTGCCCTTCAATAATTACCATCGTTCTTTTTTCTTCCAGGCATCTGCAAAGCAAATGCATTCACCTATATCATTTTTTAGTCGTTTTTTGTTACGCGATTTTTTTTCTTATCAAGCAAATTTACATGGGTGAAGCAATCAAACTAACAGCCAACACATATTCACACTTGTCGTTTTGCTAATTGAATGCTCAGCTGAAAAGTACTAAATTTTCTGTTGATTACTATTATATAGGCGCTCGAACAGGTTCAAATATGTTACGAAAATAGATGAATTTTCTAAATAATTCAAGTAACATGAAATTCTGACAGTATCAAATTTCAAAAGGACTGCAGATATATTCTGTCATCGATAATCGGATCTTTCAGTTCTTGTGTATTTTATATAGAATGCATTCATGCATTGCTAAGTACGATCAGAAAAAAATTGAGAAAACATGTTGCTTTAAATTTTATTCCGAGAAAAAGATATTTCTTATTTAAA